GGGCGGGGGAGGCGTTCGCCCCGGGAAGCGCCCGGGGGAGGAGGGGAAGAAGGCTCCGGTGCGGCGAGAAGGGACGGTGCGCGGCGGCGCGGCCACTTGTGCGAGTCTCGCCCCCCGCCCGCGGGCGGCGGTGACGGGAGGCCCGGCCGCCCCGACCCCGGCTGAACCGCCACAAACTACCGGGGGGCCGCTGAAGGCACCGCCCGCAGCCCGAAGATCGGCGCGACGGAGCCTCCGCTTCTCCCTCCCCGCTCAGGAGGAGCAGGGGGACATCCCTCAGCGCCCAGCACCGGGCTCCGGCCCAGGAGGGGAAAAGCCTTCCACGGAGCCCACCACCACCGCTCCGCTCCCAGCAGAATCACAGAACGGTTTGGGTGGAAGGGACCTTAAAGATCACCCATTTCCAACCCCCTGCCCTGGGCAGGGTCACCTCCCACCAGACCAGGTTGCTCCAAGCCCCATCCAGCCTGGCCTTGAACCCCTCCAGGGATGGGGCAGCCACAGCTTCCCTGGGCAACCTGTTCCAGTGCCTCACCACCCTCACAGCAAAGAATTTCTTTCTGGTATCTCATCTAAATCTCCCCTCTTCCAACTTAAAACCATTACCCCTTGTCCTATCACTACACTTCCTGACAAAGAGTCCCTCCCCAGCTCTCCTGTAGCTCCCTTCAGATATTGGAAGGCCTCTATAAAGTCTCCCCGGAGCCTTCTCTTCTCCAGGCTGAAAAACCACAGCTCTCTCAGCCTGTCCTCATAGGGGAGATGCTCCGTCCCTCTGATCATCTTCATGGCCCTCTGCTGGACCCGTTCCAGCAGATCCATGTCTTTCCTGTCTTGAGGACTCCAAAGCTGGACACAGTACTCCAGGTGGGGTCTCATGAAGCCCTCAGCTGGCTTCAAACCCATCCGTCCTCCTCATTTGAGCAGGGGACGAGTAATGCCAGGGGTCTCAGTGCCTGCAATAACTGCCGAGGGGAAAAAAAACCCTTTATTTCTTTCATCTAAAGAAATCTGCTTTAAAATAAGGCCTGGCTGAATTAGGAAGAATGGTGCATTTCTCCCCTGCTACCATACCTTGATATAACTAGTATTAACTTGAGTAAAAAAACCAAAACCCTTACATCAGTTAATTGGAGGGAACTAACTTAATTTAAAAACAAAAAAAAGAAGTTGCCCAGCCGAGACAACACTAGTTTAACGTCCAGCCTCCCGTATGCAACGTGCTTGATCTCAAACAGCTTCAGTGACTCGCAGCAGAGAATTGAGGTACGGCTGCCCACCCGCAAAACAAGTACCTGAACTTCTCTCGTAGCTGAGCCACAAAAATCAAGGCTTGCAGATTTAGCACACTTCAAAATTCATTTTCCTTTCAGTATGGAAAAGGTGTGCTGCAGAGACGTATAAACAACACAAAACGAGTTAGAAATACAGGTATACTGATAGATACTTTCCAGTGCAGCCCTGGACACAGAAATTATCCTTAAGGCAAGAAGAAAAGCATTTTAGCCATTTTATTTAGAAAACTTAGGACAGCTGTCTTGAGACAGCTTGCAGGAATTCTGTGCTGGCCCACACAGTCAATATTATTCCGCTTCACCAGGATGACCACTGTACCCTACTGCCTGTCTGTGCCCATACTTAGCCACTTCCCAAGGCATCTTTTGATCTCTCGGACACTTGCGAAATTCACATTTTCAGACAAGAGCGGCGACTGCCTGATTCTCAAAGCGCGGGGCTGAAAAGCGTTTCGTTGATTCTCTCAAACTAGAAATTCCTGTCATAACTCGCTAAGACCTTCTTTTGCCGATAGCTTTCCCTCCCCTACCCAGCGAGCTGCTGTTTCACATTCTTGCATATTTTCAAGAAGACGGGCCAGCAGCTGGATTGAAGAACGGGAAGAATACCTATCAGGCAGCAGAGTATCATCCTTACTCACCGGTAACCAACCCTGCCCTGTGACTCCACCAGCCCCAACACTCCAACAGTCAGCAGACCATTAGTTTACACAGCTCTTATCTCACGGCCGTTTGCTTTCAAACCCAAACTAAATTACCAAGTCATAACTCCACCCACCTGAATTTACTCCAAATGCTTCAGACGCTTTTCCGAGTGAATCAACATGTCTCTTTAACAGCAAGCAAGGAGATTTATCGCATTTATCATCACTTGTGAAAGTCAAGTGCCTTAGAATAGAACACCAAGAAGAATTCAGCTAATGAGAAGTATGTCTGAAGTGAGAAGGGGGAAGCCTCGTGAGATGCAGGGTAGTACGCACAGAGTATTACACCTTGAATACATTATGTATGCATCCTACTCAGGTACACAGATCATTAACTGCTGCCTTAGAGACTACAGCAGCATCAGAACATCCGACATACGGCCATCAAGTAACTCCCTGTAATCTTAGGCAAGTCACCGAATTCATCAAGGTGTCAATTTCCCCATTTTTAAGACAGGAATAATACTAACTCATTTAGCAAAAGATCTGCAGCACTGACAGATGAAAACTGTTTGTACATCAAGACCAAAGTACCTGCCGTGCCAAAGGCTGAGTAGAAGTACCAAGAGTACAGAGCTGCACTTCAGCCTTGTGGGGTAATACACAACAGTCTGATCTCTCCACTCAGATTCCAGAATACCAACTGCAGATGTTGCAGTATCTTACTTAATTAGGACTTCCAGCCATCTCCCCATACTCCTTTATCTCTTATCCTCCTCTAGATTGGAATCCCCGATAACCTCCCACAAGGCACAGTTGCAGCAGAAGCACAGCGAGGGTCACGGGCTCTTCATCAACACTCCAAAGCTCATCTTCCCTGCTTCATCCCCATCTCTGCTGGGAACATCTTCCTTTACTAGTATTATGACCATGGCACATGACCTTGCTAAATATTTCTACTTTCTGTCCTCTGACCTCACCAGTCTGACCATTTAGCAGACCCGCACTTCTTACCCTCACCTTTAAGCCCCTGTTCCTAACCTGATCTCCAATTATAATGTCCTCATTGACTGGCATCCTTGTCAATGTTTATTCTCTCTGCATCAGAGTCACATTTTTCCCCTGAGGTCTGCTGCAAGTTTGCCAAATAAGCTTGCTCATTAGGATTTATAATCTGACACGCAGATGGACCCAAAAACCTCCCAGTTCTGAACAGCTCCCGATGTACAAGGTACCTTTCAAAGACTGAGGTGGACAGGGCTACTGCCCCTTGTGATCAGACCCTCACAGTGGGACACATCTCAGGCTCTGGCACCATACACTGGCCACCTCATTTTGTTCCCATTCTTCCCCCATACAGGATGTCTGGCATCCCACAGCAGTCTTGCCATTTCTAAACTTGTGTTTTCTCTGAGGCAATGGGTTTAACCTCCTATGGAGCAGAAGCCCATCAAACACTTTCAGGCACTATTAAAAACTAAATTGTGAATACAACATGTGTTTGC